TGTACCGCGTTTACATTATTCAGGTACTAAAGGTCGTCCAGAATGAGTGTTTTGTTTTGGAATGAAAACCCCAATGAACTCATTTAGAAATGACTCATTTCGAATAAATTTTACTCTGGAATCATGTGGCAACCGATATGAACTCGTCCTTGAACAAAACTCATTCGGATATCATTCCGTAAAAGGCCCTTGAAAGTTTTTATTCCCGAAGCATCACGCTTTGCTCTCCTGTCTGAATACTATAAATTTCAATAGCGTTGAAGCAACAACCCGCTCTTAACTGCTTCGCTGCCACTTACACAACTGACCACAAAAAGCACATATTCTAATATTTTCTATTCAACCTAAGGAGAAATCTTTTCATAGGGTAAATATTCATTTGTGTCGGTATCAATTATTGCGTGACTAGCTTATGATATAAATGAGAGAGGGGAAAACACAACGCAAAACCTGGGCTCCTGTCAAAGAGTAATGCCCAGGCGTAATATAATAATCGAAACAGCTAATAAAATCATAATTAAACAAGGTAAGAGTGTTATGTTAGATTCTTTCCACAAATTGTCGTGATTTATGCCAGTAAAGGCAAGTAGGCACATCATGTATATTTCATAGTTGCTAGCAAATAAATTTTGCCGAACTTTGAGTTCGTCTCACGATAGAACAACACAAATAAGCAAATCTTTACAGTAACTTTTCAACCATCCATTTTCCTACCTAAAGTTTGAAGCTCAGTAGATTCTTTCATGTCGATCATTGTTTAAAACTGTCTTTGTTTTAATGTTACTTTTCGACATAGGAAAAGTATGTCGGACAAAAATATTCACCAAAGAATAAATATTTCTTTTCCAGTTTTAATAATGACAGGGAATTAAGTTTAGATGAGAAAACAAAGGATTATGTTGACAGAAATACCGGAGGTCAAGTATATTCATTACATGAGGTCACACAACTCAGGTAATAGTCACGGTGAAAATTTGCATATTTGAGCGGTCGAACGAAAAAAATCATTTCTCGAAAACTAAAATACATTTTTATAAAAAAGCTACATCAAAATTACTAGGACATATTGGGTTACAAATATGAAAGTGGGAGTGAAATCGAATTTCGGGCGACTTGCCAGAATATTTCAAATTTGTGCGATGGATGGTGACACCTCTCTTAAGAGCACTTGCAAAGTTAATATAAATTGACATTTCTCAGAAACACCGGAACATCTAATAACAAGCTATGCAAAGGTAAGGAACGCTGATTTTATTTATTGACCTTCAATTCGATCGAATGCTACGAGATGGATAAGACCATACCGTGTATGTCCATGTGGGTGATAAAGAGCGTGGAGAGCGCAGAGATTGTTGACTACTTTTGTGAACTGCGTAGAGGAATTGAAGCGAGGGGTTATCATCTATTTTGGAATCTGAACGCGGTCTCGCCTCAGACTTTCCTTTGGAAATCGTATCTTACCATTTTCAAATAAAGGAAAAGTCTTCCGTCATTTGTGTAACGCACCACAAGGAGATGAAAACATCCAAATGACGCTCTCCTTTTAGAATATTTTTCAACAATTGGCTGAGTCATGGGATGTTTGTTAGGATGTTTCTAGTAAATCACCGCAGTAATCGCCGATGCTACATGAATTGTGCACTCACTCTTGTTCCGTGGAAGGCGACCAATTTCTACGTTGTATCCTTTCGAAAGGCGGTTTTTCGGTGCGTTCAGAATAACTGGAAACAACAAGTTGTAGCCAGGTTAAGTTAAACAACTAGATGAGGTCGAATTAGTCTTACTTCTGGTGACCCGCTCCAATATCACTTCCCAGTCGTAGACTTACCTTTCTCTCATAGCCAAGGGTAAACATTTTTTTTTAAACAAAAACTTTATTACCAACGTAAAGTTTAACATTTCACTTCAATCTTTGATAACAATGTTTTCTCACTTATCCTAGAGTTGTGATACATCGTACTCAAGTAGTAAAGAAGAAATGGAAGATTTCGACGAAGACAAACAAAGACGGTTTCTCGCCTGCGGTGTACATGTTCAGATCAAGATTAGAACAAAAAATTTCCGTTACTGAATCTTTAGCTCGTTGCGTTTTTGTTTTGTTTTCTACGCCGAAAACTATCTTAGGAATGGGTAGCTGTGTTCGTTTCTGTTGCCACAACATTTTATTCCCTTTGCACCATGTGCGGCGAAGGTTCCCCTCAGTTAGGGCTCTAGAGTTTCGATGCTGTAGGAAATTCCCTTAGTAAACCAAAGGCTAACTTTTGGTGAAAAATCAGCTGTATCACGAGGCAAGATGATTTTTCACCGAGAAGTCGTCGGGTGCTTTCACTGAAAGTTGCTCCTTTCCTCAGAGATTGCAAAGACAGTTTATAG